TCAAGCAACCTATTGTCTCTGATTCTGTCAATTATTACACATTCTTGCGTGACTTGTGTTCAGCAAAGTCTCATCCTTTAACTGTATCTGTTCCTTTACATTCTAAAAACTTTTATTCATCTAGTTCCTTTCCTTTCAAATCAATGCTTTGTTGTTTTCTCCCATCTTCATGTTTTCCAGACTCCTATAATTTAGAGTTTTCAAGTCTACTTTCAAACGTTTTTTGGTTCTTTAAAAATATTATATGTTTTCTTGTAACTTCCAACTAAAATAGTGGTTGCTTGCTGAATTGTTGGAAATAAATTTGTGTTAAAAAAAAAACCATTTTGAGCAAAATAATCCTCTCCGTATATAAACTAAATAGAAAAATAATGAACTTAAAATAAATTGTCTAAATTTAAAGCTGAAATGATTAAAGCAAAAAGAGCACATAAAAAAGAGTATCCAAGTCCCAAAGCTAAAGATAGAATTCTTTCAGAAGTACTTCTGGTAAATTTATTGAAACTTTTCTTGGTTAATTTTAACTCCTAATTAAATTTTTACTTCTTTAAATCATTGAAAGTTTTCAATTATTAAGTAAAAGTGATGTTAAAATTTTTAATGAGAACTTAGGTTTCCTTATCTCAGACATTATTAAGTAAAAGTGATGTTAAATATTTTTAATGAGAACTTAGGTTTCCTTATCTCAGACATTATTAAGTAAAAGTGATGTTAAATATTTTTAATGAGAACTTAGGTTTCCTTATCTCAGACATTATTAAGTAAAAGTGATGTTAAATATTTTTAATGAGAACTTAGGTTTCCTTATCTCAGACATTATTAAGTAAAAGTGATGTTAAAATTTTTAATGAGAACTTAGGTTTCCTTATCTCAGACATTTTTAAGTAAAAGTGATGTTAAATATTTTTAATGAGAACTTAGGTTTCCTTATCTCAGACATTATTAAGTAAAAGTGATGTTAAAATTTTTAATGAGAACTTAGGTTTCCTTATCTCAGACATTTTTAAGTAAAAGTGATGTTAAATATTTTTAATGAGAACTTAGGTTTCCTTATCTCAGACATTTTTGAGGAACTTATCAACCTCTTATAAGTCTTTTGAATTTCATGACCTTTATTATTTATATGTCTGATAAGCCTTGTAATTCCACTCACAAAAATCTTTTATGAGTCCTTTAACTCTAACTGGAACAAATATCTTTTCTCTGCTAACTACCTAATATTAGTCTGGTCTATAAAAAAAAAGGGCAATAAATAAATTGCTAGAAATTTTAATTGATGATAATAACTTGCTCTTTAAAAGTCTTGCAGCTTTCTTCATTATAAAGTATGCATAAGCTACAGAAACTTTCAGTATTATTTTGTCTTTCTTATCGTAGCAACAGGTTTCAGGTATCAAAATGCTGTGTTTTTTCCATTATCAAACTAATCTTACCTTTTGCAAAATGACTAACTTATAAATCAGTTCCTGAACAGCTCTACTAAAAAGTTTGATTCAGAAGTCTTTTTTTATTTAGAAATCATCTAGCCTGAAGCAGGGCCGGCGGAAGGCGGGTTCCAAGAACCGGCCCTGCGGTTTGCGAAAAGTACTCTTATTAAAAGACGCACATTTGCATGATATTTATTTTTTTAGTTGTAATAATTCACTTGCAAGCCCAGTTTCAACGGTTCCCAGTTCCATAATTTTTTTTATATTGCCTGGGAATATACTGCCTTTTAATTGTAGATTCGTTGGGTATATCATGGGGATAATACTTTTCTAAAAAAAATTTTAAGGAGGGATGGTTTATGTAATATTGTATTGTATTACTATTTAATATGCACGTTATAAAAAATATATACGTAATATGTAACAGCATTTTTGTTATTTGTTAATAAATAATTCTTTGTCGTAAAATTTAAATGTAAGATTTGAATGTGGATTTTGGCGCAATATTTTTGAACCCGGCCCCGAAAAAGTTTGCGCCGGCCCTGGCCTTCAGTGTAGCCCACATGTTCAACCAGCTGTTTCTAGGCGCGTTTCAAACCAAATTCCAAGACACAATCAATTATGTAACAGATTATCAAAATTCTAAATCAAACTATCTGAACAAGTAACTACTCTACATTTTTACTAAAGTACACTAGATTCTAGGCTAGATAAAAAGTTTGGAACAAAATTTTTCAAACAGGTTATTTTATATAGCGGAGTGCTTTCCCTGCTTGTTGTATGTTTTACAGCTATAACTATAGTAATGAATAGAAAAAATATTTTAAATTATATATATATTTTTAAGGAACCTTTGATGGAAGAATATAGTATTGCTGCTCAAGTTTGGAAACTAACTACTACGGATATGTGTGAGCTTTCACGAAATAGTGTGCTTATGTCTGGATTCGAGCACAAGGTATCTTTTGCTAATAGTTTTACAAAATAATCACTGTCATCGTGAGTTTTAATAATTTTATGCGATTCGTTCTTTCTAGGTAAAGCAACATTGGTTGGGAGATAATTATCTTGTTGGTGGTCACAACGGAAACGATATAACCAAAACTAATGTTCCAGATATACGAGCTTGTTTTAGGTATGAAACTTTAGTTGACGAGTTACATCTCATATCATTAGCTGCAAAAGCTTCAAAAGTCTCGAAAAAATCACACTATTCAAGCACGGAAGTATTTGACTGATTTGGAGTAAAAATTTGACCATCAAAAGTTTACTCAAAATCTCTTTTAAATTTTAAAAAGCTTTGAGAAAAATATTTTTGTTTGATTTAAAAAATATTTTTTTAATCTTAGTTTAAAAATTTATAAGAATAACTTTTTTTTTTCTTTTTCTTTTTTTTTTTTAAATTGTAGGTTTAGCGATAATTAACAAAAGGCAATAAGACCTCATTAATTTTGAGCATACATTTTTTCATAGTTTTAAATGTAAAAAGTTTTTAAGGTTTTATGTAATGGGATAAATTGTTTTACATTCGGTTTTACGATAACATTTAATATGATAACATTGTAAAATTTCTTTTTGATTTATGAAAGTGTTAAAGTATTATAGTTTATTTCTATATTCTCAAAATTGTTATTAATATCTATTGTTTCGAATTTAACACCAAGGTGGGCAATTAGTTATTTTACTTTGCAATGATAAAAATTAACTAAATATATAGATGATAGATAGAAGTTTTTCAGGAGAATCTTAATTGCAAAAATCGCATTTTGTACATCGACAAATAAAATCTCCAAGTCAACCGGCATCATGTATCAAAAAAATTCCTTCCAAACAAAACTTGGTTAAAAATATATATATTTGTTCATTCACAGGTACATAAAATATTGCAATATTGTTTGGGTAAGCACATGCTCTTCTGCGCTTAAAAAAAAAATGCACATAACAAAAAGCAAGCGTGTAGATTAGTATGTTTTGTTAACAGATATGTCACACCAAACTTTTGTTCAGGGATATTGGAGTTCCTAATATTTAAAAAATAAACTTCTAAAGTAGCATTTACGTTTCAATTACAAAACCACTTGCTACAAAAATGCTTTAAAAATAAATTTTACTTCATTGATCGACAAACGTCTCTCTATTCATAATTTAAAAATTCCAAAGATTTCACTTGATATCTCACTTGGATTTTTTAAATTGTCCATTTTATCTAATAAAAATATAATATTTAAATTTTCCATTTTATTGCGATGATCGCGGCTATGGAGTTTAATCTTCAATAAGGAAATAAAAAACATGAAATCTTACTTGACTTAAACTACGTCAACATACTCTCATATTTTAAAAGATTAAATTAATAATAACAATCTAAATAAAAATAGATTATTCAAATTGGCAATATAATGAATACAATTATTATATTATAATACATATAATTATTATATTATAATGCAAATAGTTTTATTCTATACTTATTTATGAGATCGTAACATATATGACATTGTTTTTTACAATAAGTTGAAAATTTATTGAAAAATTGCGAATGTAAGAATCTTGATGGTAAGAAGTCTTGCTTCTGTCATTATTTTAAATTTTATTTTATTTTTTATAAATGTATACATATAAATAAATTTATATTTATAATTGTATTAAAGTTATATATGTAAAATGTTTATAAAGTGACGAAATAAATTTAATAACTATAATAAATCCGATAACAAAATCAGCGTTAAAAATATGAATGATACGTGATAATTGTCACGCTCTATGTTCACTTTTTGTGAACAAAGAGCGACTTGTGATTTTTACTGTTTATTGTTATTTTCAGCATATAGTAGCAATATATAAAACTTATAGCTTATGAATTTATAAAAATATTTACGAAGTTTTTTGTTTGTTTGTTTGTTTTAGGTGCCCCAAGAAGACCTAATGGTCTTGTCTCTAAGTTGTTTAAAAAAAGCGACATTAGTTGATAATAGTTATAATTATTATTATAGTTACTATAGTTACTAATTAGTTATAACAATCACAATTAGTTTATATTTTTTAATATCATTTTAATTTTTTAAAAACATTTTTGTTTTATGGAAGGAAAAAAAACAATACTTTAAAACAAAAAATTAAATATCTTACTGTAGCAGTAGTAAATTCAGTCAGATTCTTGTATTATCCTTTTAATAGAATTTCTTCAATTCTGAGTTTGAGTCTTTGTAACATAAGTCTTTAGGCTAATTCACCGATAGTTACTTAACATCACCTTTGCTAACTAAAGTTAACTGACGGTTTGTAGGTACATAGTTATACAGCGAAACTAGGAATGAACTCTTTATATTATTGTACTGTATTTCAGCATTTTTTATTATTTTTTTATAAAATACTTTCGATTTATTTGTATAAATGTTAACTACATATCATTTTAATGCGCTCAATACATTATTTTTCCTGATTTTTGTTAGCATTTTTATATTCTGCCAATAATCTAGAATTTTCGTTATATTATTATTAAAAGACCCGTATCAAATATCATTAAGTCTTTCAAGGTACGTTTTGTTCTTAAAGAAGTTTTTGAAGGTACAGTTCTTAAGAATTTGTTGTCTTTCTAATCAAACAAATAACCAAAGCCAACTATCTTAAACACATTTTAAGAACTTCTTAAATGTTTAATTCAATGTTCAAAATTTGTTTTTTCTGCTTCTGGCTTTTTTCTCTAAACATCTGTTTTATATCTAAAAAAATTTCAAACTTATTTTTTCGTTACGCATATTTTCACACTTCTGACAATCTTCTAATCTTTTCTGATAATCGTCATTTTAATGTAATCAGATTATTAAAAATAATTATTTACTTGTTTCCGTTTCCCTTTACAATGCTTATTATTTGTATTTGATTTGCCAAAGTTAAATAATCTAAACATTCTTTTAAAATTTGATTAATAATAACCAACGCATCCAAGTTAACTTTTATTTGAAATCAACAAAGTTTATCAACTTGAGTAAATACTATTTGATTTTTAAATTAATAATACTTTAGTGATTCTCAATCGTTTATAATTATTGATTCGTAAATAAAACAGGAAAGATTTTAATAAATGAAAACTAAATGCGGTAAAATATTACTAGAACGTTTTTTAACTATATGTTATAAAATTTTATTTATTTATTATTTTTATTATTTTATTGATTATTTAGGTACTCCAAGAAATCTCAACGAGCTTATCACAAAGCACCGCGGAATAACATTTAACCCGGAAATTCACACCTCATTCCACGCCAATGATGCATAAATGGCCAGAGCCGACTTCCGAATAACGGACTTTCAGTTCTGAAGCCAGAATTCTAACCACAAAACCAGGGCTGCACTATCACTATTACATATCACTATTATATTAAAATAATTAAATTAATAAAAACTATTAAAATATATAAATTGTTGCCAGTTTCTTTACATGAACTCAAATTTAACAGAACTTTTTTTTCTTTAAATAAACTCAAACTTAACAGAATGGTGCTTTTACTTCCAAGACCATGAATATTAATGAATGATAGGTTTAAAGAACTTGGTGATGACAATGGTTTTTTGTGTTTAATAATTTTTGATACTTTAGACATTTTAATTTTGTTAAAAATTCGATTAAAATCATAGAAAATACCATAGAAATCCTACGCATCAAGAGTCAAGAAGATTTAGTATTCAATATCCTAAACTGGAAACAAGGTATTGTAAATACATCTATGACAGCTTAATAGATAAAGAAGGAGGGCGAGGCTGGTCAGCATATAGAATCTGTTTACCCCTTAGTCCTAGGAGGCCTTCTACAAGACATTAACCGGACGCGTTTAACATCTGTCTAAGATAAGTATTTTTATCGAGACACCATCTCTACCCTTTACTCAACCAAGAGCCCCAAGGCAGTGGGTGTTTTAAGTCGGAATTGGCTTCTACAAAAGCGGATCCTACAAGGCAGCAGGGCATAAAACAAGTTGTACGGAGTCAAAAGCAGCCGCGGCGCAGTGGTAGCACACTTGCCTTAAAAACCAAGGGGTCCAGAGTTTGAACCCTGCCTGGGGAAGTTTTGCGACATCGGCTAGAAAGACGTTAACTTCCTATTTTATGCTTTTCCACGGAACTCTGATAAGACCGTTAGGGCTTCTTTGGAGCACCGAAATAAAATTATTTAAAAAATTAATAAAAATTTACATGTTACCATAACAACGATAAGCTGACCTGAATTTAAAGTAAACACCGTTTAACAAAATTATATTATTCATTTATACATTGTCATATAAACTACGCAAATATTCTATGGGGAAGCACTCATAAAACAAAGCTAGGTTTGCTAGAAACACGCAGCTTGCGCAATAAGTTTTAAAAATCGTTTTTTAAAACACGAAACATCTTTTTAAAAAAATGAATGTTTTAAATGTATATCAACTAAATATCTTTAATAATTTATGATTCATCTTTAAATGTAAAGAAAGTTTGTCGTCAAATGTATTACCCAAAATTTTTGTTATTTGGAACCTAAAAACAAATATAATCTTTTTACTAATAACAATATTATTGGCACTATTTGCCATAAAAACAAAGAACAGTTTTTTATTTCTTACCAAGGTCTTTATCTCAGGAACAAAATAGAACTTTAATAAAACAAAATATATAACCAAATAATGATTTTTCTGCCAAACTGACTTTTGCTTCAAGCAAAAAATTAAAAAAAAAATTATATATGATTAAAATAATAATAACAATAAGCTACGGCAAGAAAATATTAAAATAAGGATTAAGCTAGTAACACAAAGTAAATGAGTTTTTTTATTTTAATCTCGCTTAAAAGGGGTTGCAACCCTTTAGCTTCTTATTGGTAGACGATGAGCTGTAGCAGCAATTTAGTTATAAGTTGTAAAGCTAGTGCTGGCCAGAGTGTTTGTCGATACAATCTTTAAACTCATTTAGGTTACGAGAGGCAATTGCAGTTTGTGGAAGTAAATTCCATCGGTAGACTAATTTATTGAGGTTATGTGAAATGCAAATGCCAAGAACTCTTCCGTTGTAAGATATATCCTTCTGGAGAAAAGCTGGGCTCTCAGGAATCAAGTATAACTTTGATTTCGTCGACGTATAACTTCATTGGATTACTAATTAGGTCTGTAATGTCATTGATGTATAAGATGAATAGAAGATATATATATATATTTTTTTAATATTATTTAGGTGTCCTAAGGAAACCTAACGGTCTTATCACAGAGTACCGCGGAAGTACATTTAACCAGGAAGTTCACGCCTCCTTCCTTACCGTGACACGAAAATATGTCCAGCGTTTGTTTTGAACCTGGATCTCCTGCTTCTGAAACAAGCTCTAATATATATATATATATATATATATATATATATATATATATATATATATATATATATATATATATATATATATATATATATATATATATATATATATATATATATATAACTTTGGTTATATATGAAATTATATAACAAGATATAAACGACATTATATTTAGTATAATGATAAACATGCAAAAAATAATACTTTTATAACATTATTTGTTATATAAAATTATAACTCTTTTTGTTTTTTATTTTCAATTTATTTAAAGATTGTTTTTTAACTTCAGTTTCTCTTATTTTCTGTTGCAGTTGTATAAAAAATGCTCTTATCCCGTCTTTTGCCTCATCTGCTGTTTGTAAGATGCACCTTCTTTTCTATTGTCAACAAAAATTTATTTTCATTAATTTATTTACTTATCTCTAACATTTTAATTCTTAATAACAAATAGAGGTGTTTTAAAAACCTTTCTAAAATTTCTCTCAGTATTAGCGAATGCAGATCGTAGAATAAGGTAAATTTTAAAAAAGATTTAGAACCTTTGGTCAACCTAACGCCGTCTTTGTTTTATGAAAAAAGACTTATTTTTTCAATAAGTTAATTTTGAAAAAATTATGAAGATATTTGAGCAAAAACATTGATGAAAAGCGCTCATGCAAAACGGTATTGAGACAGTCATAAAAAGATTTTGAATATAAATTGTTTTTTCAGAAAAGAGTGGTTTGAATAGATGTTATTTTAACATTGTTTTAATATAGCCGTTTAAAAATAATAAGTTATAAGCAGAAATATAAAAATAGTATCACAATATACACAAATATAAAACATTTAATTTTTTGAAAGAAATAAAGCTAACATCCGAGTAGCCCAATAAATTTAGCCAACGCAATTGACACTTGGTATTATGTGTTATACGTTAATCCACCTTTGGGATATATCTAGGCATCGTAATTCATACAAACTTTACTGAGTTTTTCCATCGCATAAAGAAAAAATTCACACCGAAATAAATTATTCGTTACAACTTTGCGTACTTCGTGCTCCACACCAGAATATACAAAAATGGTCAACTTTAAATCCCTTTTTTATCAAACTTTTCCAAATGAGTATTAATATAAACACATGATAGTTTATAAATATATATTTTTTTATACAGTTACTTTAAGTTATGTTAACGTAATTGAAAGTTACGGTTCTTTCTTATTTCGTTAATCTAATTATATTAAAATCTTTATTTATTAAACAAATTAACATTAACAATTATTTAGACATTAAAAAAATCATTAACAAAAAACAAATCTATTTTTTATATTCACTATATAATAACTATATTTTCAGATATTCATTATATAATAACTATATTTCCAGACCTTTGATCCATGTTATAAAACTTTCAATAAATGAAGGTATTTTCCCTGAAGCACTAAAGTTGGCAAAAGTATGCCCAATTTACAAAAACAAAGATCAATCAGAAATCTCTAATTATAGACCTGTATCAGTACTTTCTGTATTTTCCAAAATATTCGAACGTATAATCTATAATAGAATTTATAACCATTTTAATGAAAATAGTTTATTTTACACAAAACAGTTTGGTTTTCAAAAAAACCATTCAACTGAACACGCAATAATTGAAATAGTAGACCAAATTACTAAAGAATTCGAAAACAATAACTTTACTCTAGGATTATTTATTGACCTATCAAAAGCATTTGATACGGTTGATCACCTCATTCTTTTAGAAAAAATTAAACACTACGGAGTGATAAATAAAATCTATGATTGGTTAAATAGCTACCTCACTGAAAGAAAACAATATTTTGTTAAAAAGGAATCAAGTGAACTAAAAATTATGCGTGGAGTTCCACAAAGGTCAATTCTTGGTCCCTTGCTGTTCTTGATCTATGTAAACAATTTGCATAATGCTTCAGCAAAACTTAACGCGATAATGTTTTCTGATGACACAAATCTTTTCTTATCAAACAGTGACATTAGACAACTTTACTCTGACATGAATAATGAACTAAGGAATGTCAATGAATGGTTTAAGGATAATAAACTATCACTTAATGTAGATAAAACAAAGTATACTCTATTCCATAAAAAATCACAACAGGAAAACTTTCCCTTATAATTACCAGATTTAATTTTAGATGATAAACTAATTGGAAAAAATGAGTCAATACAATTCTTAGGAATTTTTATTGATGAAAATATCATGGCTTCCTCACATAAATTATATCCAATCAAAAATTAGTAAAACAATTGGTTTGATGTACCGTATTCGCCCATATGTAACATCAGAAAGTCTGAAACTAGTATATTTTGGCGTAATACATTGTTTTATTTACTATTCTAATATTACATTGGCTAGTACTCAATTAACAAAGTTTAAAAAAATATTTTCTCTACAAAAACATGCATGCAGGCTAATATATAAGAAAAAAAAATATGAACATGCAAAACCACTAATGAAAGACATGCAAATGATGAGTATATATGAAATTAATATTTACCAACACTTAATTTTTATGTATAAATATAATAACAGCCTGATTCCAAAAACCTTTAATAATAAATTTACGAAAAATGTTAACAATAATTACTGTCTTAGAATAAACTAATGGAATACTTATAAATTGCCTAGAATTAGGAGCAAGTATTCTGAATATGGAATAGCATACCGTGGACCGAAACTATGGAACACATTTCAAAAAACCAAACATTTAAATACGGTAAAATCGTTTAACTCCTTTAAGTTTCTAATAAAAAATGAAATTTTTAAACATTATAAATAATTTTGCAATTTTTCTAAATGAACATTGAATTCCATTATTCTTAGTTTAAAAAAAAAATTGTCTTTTTTTTTATATTTAAAACAATGTCAGTATTTTTTAAATGACTATTGTTAAAATTATATTAATACTATTTCCTTTCTTTCTTTAAATGTAAATATTTATGAAAGTTTTTTTTTAATGTTTTCATTGTATTGTAATTGTACAATTGTGTTTTTAACAATCTTATTCTATTTTAAACTTGTAACGCCCACATAGGGGCTCTATGAAAAGATTGTGGTGACTTTAGTCACCCGTATTTTATTTGAGCCCCTGTCTGTTTTTATAAATCAACTTTTTTTTTTATGTAAATGTTTCTTTGTAACTATATTTTTTTATTATATAAACAGCAAATATATATATATATATATAAAAACATTGCCATGATGATTTTAGAATACGCGTTGTAATGTTACCGAAAAACACAATTATTTTTAATTAGATTGAATTCATAAACTATAAAGTATATTCTTATATTTAGAAAGATTATCTTGTTCTATGTTCAATATTTCAAAAATTTGATTTATTGATTTTGTTATGACCTCAAAATAATGTTTTTCTATTGTATTAAAATCAAAGTTATAAGTGAAAAAGTTGTAGAGAAAAGAAAAGTAACTTTTTTAAATCGTTTTTTCAGAGATTAAACAATATAATTTGAACTTTGCGAACTTTGGGCTAATTATTATTCATGAAAAAAGCTTGAAAGGCAAGGTAGAACTAAAGAAATGAAACTATCCAGCGGGCACAAAACGTCGTTTAGACGTCTCGAAGACATCTTACGGATTTCTATACTGTGTAAGACGTTGTAAAGATGTTTTACAGATGTCTGTGCCCTCTAAACCATTGTAATAAAAGTAGACGTTTAAAGTTTTATAAAATATTAAGTTCTTTCAAATAAAATATAAAAGACAATCCAACCATCTTGGGATGATGAAGATAAAACTAAAGAAATAAAAGAAATAAAGAATATAATATAATTAAAAAAGACAAGTATAAACTTGTACATAAAATAAAATAAAAAGTAATACAAAATATATTATTTTAAATTAAAAAAAAAAAAAAAATTATAACATTAATTAAAAAATGATTTTTTATTGATAATTAGTTTTTTTTTACTTAACTTTCAGCTTAATAACTTTTTGCAAACTTGGCTAATTAAAAAAAATATAGAAAATATTGTTAAAAAACTGAAATGCAAAAATATTTTTGTCATAGGAGTGTTAAGTCATCAACGGATAAATTCAAAATTAGTTTTGGTTCAAATGTATCAAAAGTTGAAAAAATAAAGAATCTTATCTAAAGAAAAAATATAATAAAGTTCCGAAAATATAGTTCATTTTTAGAACTTTAAATTATTTTTTTTTAAATAAGATTTTTATCTCTTGAACTTTTGACTCATTGGAACCAAAACTAATTTTGACTATTATATTATTTTATTTCTGTTTTTTAACAATATTTTCTATGATTTTTAATTTTAGCTGAAATATAAGTAAAAAAAACAAATTAAAATTATTAATAAAAAGTAAAAATTAAGATATTTAAATAGTTATAGTAAAAATTAATAGAATCATGTTTACAAAAAAAATATATGTTCAGTTGGGAATACCACTTAGAACTGTTTAAAATAAATAATAATACTAATAGCAAAACTTCAACAAAAGAAAATTTGTATGTGTTTGAAAAAATAACTTCTATCAAAAAATTGGTGTTGAAAATAAAAAAAGCACTCAAAATAAAACTATAGTTGAAAGAATTAAGAAACCACAAGTTCACAATTTTATTAAAAAAAACCCGCAGACACAGAAAAAAAAAAAAACTAACTCATTGTTAAAAACTGCGTTATATATTGTTGCCATTCGAAAAAGTATGCATTGGACGACGAAATATACTGAATTTTTTTGAGGATTAACTAGATATTATTTCTGTTCTACAATTAATCAAGTCAATATTCACTCAAAATTTAAGACATTGGGTTTTGAAAAAACTTAGGGAAAATATATTGTTTGGCAATCTTTTGTGGCTGTTGTCAATGAAGTATAGGTTTTATCGTGCGTTAGATAAAGGTGGAGAGGTTAAGGCCATCACTCTCGACATTTCTAAAGCGTTTGATAAAGTTTGGCATGCTGGTCTTTTCCATAAGCTTTTTTCTTACGGTTTATCTGGAAACACCTTTAAAATTATTGAATCCTTCCTTTCCAATCGTAGTATAAAAGTTGTCCTTGATGGATAGCACTCTTCTTCTTTTTTTGTAACCTCAGGGGTTCCTCAAGGTTCAATTCTTGGTCCTATACTCTTTCAAATTTACATTAAAAATCTTCTAGATATTCTGACATCTAAGGTGGCATTGTTCGCTGATGATACTACCATTTATTCTTGTCATGATAAGAAGCCAACACTCTCTGATTGCTTAGAGGGGATATTTGAGCTTAAAAAGGATCTCACTTCTGCTACAGCATGGAGCTCACAGTGGCCGGTGAACTTTAATTTAGATAAAACTCCATTTTTTTCAGCCAAACGTTATCGCAATAAATTAGACCTTCCTACATTTATGAACGGTAATGTACTCGATGAGTTATCTACCCTTCATCTTCTAGGATTAACTCTAACTTCTAATCTTTCTTGGAAACCATATATCAAATCCGTTTCAAAATTAGCATCTGCTAAGGTTGCATCTCTTTATCGATCCAGTCACTTTTTTAGTCCGGATTCTATTCTTTATCTTTATAAATCTCAAATCTGACTTTGTATGGAATACTATTGCTATATCTGGGGCGGATTTTCTAATGATGCTTTTTCTCTTTTAGGCAAGGTGCAAAAACGCATTGTAAACATAGTTAGACCTGCTCTTGCAGCCAAGCTCCAATCATTATCACATCGTCGTAATGTTGCTTCTCTTTTTCTTTTCTACAAATACTATAATGGGCACTGCTCTAAAGAGCTAGCGTCTCTTGTACAATCTAATAAAATTCATTCTTGTATTACTATTCAATTAAGTCTCATCCTTTTTCTGTTACTGTTCCTAAGTGCTCCAAAAACTCTTATTCCTCTAGTTTTTTCTATAAAATGTAATTAATTTTGTGATTCTATTCAACTATATTAAACACTTATATCTGTTGGATTTTAATGAGAAAGAGTGTCTGAAATTTTATTTTAGTATCACTATTTAATTACTCATTCTTCTCGATGGAGGTTAATGTTTTTCATAATCTTTAGACAGAACTAAAAACTGCTTCTAAATACACATTAAGTGTATTTAGAACAATAATATTTTGAAAACCAAATAAGATAGTAGGATTCTTGAAAATCAAATTAGTAGTGATTTTAAAATAGTTCTAAACCCGAGAAATGTTTTAAACTGTATCGGTAAGTTATTAAGTAAACTAAAACCGTGTAAAAATTAGTTATTTGTTTTTATTTGCTTAAAATTTTTATATACTAGATAGGTTACTATGTCTACACGTGGTTCGTAACTTTGCACAACATGTTTTATTTGAATCGTGGTTAATAAATTTAATTTAAAAAGCACAGCATACTTCTATGGCATATTGCTATTTAAATTGTTTATATAAAATCAAATCCGTGGCCAGTTTTATTTGTACTTCATTTTAATTTTAATCAATGAATCCATTTTGTATTGGAAGTGACTCGCAGGTTGTAAATATTTATACCTACAAGTATTTTCCTGTACGCAAAAGTAAACTCACACAAAATGGGGGTGAGTTATAAAAAAAATTTCATAATGAAACCAAGAAAAAAAGAAGAAAAATTATTTTATAATAAATTAAAAATTAAAAATAAGTTTTAACAGTGTATTTATTTTAGCTTTAAATAGTTTCTAATGCCATAAAAGGTGCATGGTTTTGTTTTAATTTTTTAAATTTTGTGCATGGTTTGTAGATACTGTTACTAAAATAATTATATATAACTTTTAATATTATTTTTTATTTTATTTAGGTGGTGCATGGTGTTTAGATTTTGTTAATAAAAGAAAAAATCATATAAAACTTTTAAATAAATGTTTAACATTAGAAGATAACACTGGATTGCAATTAAACTATGAATATTTGGTATATTTAGTTTATATTTAGTATATTTAGTTTATAAGTGAAATTATTAGGTATAAATGATAACAATTATAATATTTATATCAAAAGTTTTAGGTCCATTTAAGTTATTAGAGAACATGACTCCATCATAGATAGTACTCTAAGCAATGAGCTATGCAGTTGCGTCAGTTTTGCTAATTAACCCAAAGTGGTAACCAAAAAGTTTCTTATGTGGCTTTGACAATGCACACTAAAAGCACTAACAGGGATACCATTTATGCTCAACATAGTACTTCTTTAAACTCTGATACAGCTGTTGATGAAATCAGCTCCTCTAAAAGCTACCAGAGAGTTTAAAAAACTTTACAACCGGCTGGCCTCATTAAACTGTATTTTAGAGCTGTACCTTCATTAGGGGATAACAAGGGTTGCATAGCCACTAACAAGGGCTGCATAGCCACATCATAGAGAAACTAATTTGGTTATGAACACGTCTCAGGAAAACTAATACATTAGTCACAGAGAAAGCTTTTGAAATTGGTATTAAAACTAACAGCAGTTTTACAAATTTATAATTTTTTTCTAAAAAAGTCATATTTTTAACATTAATTTGTTTTTTTATCTCGAAGTTTTGGAGATATTAAAAATAAAGAGATTTAAGTTCAATTTCAGTGATAGAAAAGTACATTGCATCATAAAATTATATGGCATACTATTATTTCCTGCTAACAAACCAAAGTCCATTGTTTCAAAGAGTAATCTTAAAATAATCCATACTTTTTGATTGTAAAATGGCAAGCAAGACAGGTATAAGATATACTTGTAAGATCTTCTTATAATTCTAAACCTTTATATTGTTTAATAAACTTGTTGTCAATACTATGTGTAAATGTTCATCTTTTAACTTTAAATGAACTTTGAGTTATTTTAATAGCTGATAAAGATACGTGCATACTTCTGCATGTTGAACAATAAAGATATGTGCGTACTTCTCTGCACGTTGAACGATAAAGATATATGCATACTTCTCTGCACATTGAACTATCACTCAACTGAAACAATAATGTCAATATATAAGTTCCTGAAGATTTCAGAGAATAGAAAAAATGGAGTAATACCATCCCAAAAGAAGATTTTATTGTCTCAGATTATACTGCAGTATATCGACTACATTGGATTGATGATGACTTTTTGAAACCATATGAAAAACATCAACCACTAAACCAACTGTTTTTGAAAATGTTACATAAAGTTGTTTACTACTATTACCATGTTGTACACCAGCAAATAAAATAAGAAAAAACTGGAACTTCAAGCAGATTTTGAAATGTTTTATCAGATGAGTTAAACATCTTTCTAAAAGATGATTTTTATTTGACAATGTTTAATCTAAATTCAGTAATAGCAAAGATGTCATTATTTTCAGCTCAATTAAAAGTTTACATATACAATCAAAAGTGCGCAAACTTGTTCCATTATTTCTTTTAGAAACTTTTTACAATAAAAGATAAAATATTGCACAACTTGCAATATTTTATCTTTTATTGCAAAAAAAAAAAAATAATTAAAAAATTTTTGTTTTAATTTTTTAAATTTTGTTTTATATGAAGCAGTTACATTCTTAAACAATAATAAAAAAGGTTCTCAAAAGGTTCTCATCATTTAAATGTTCTTTTAATGTAAATAAAAAAGTTAATGTAGGTGAAGTTTTATTTACCCCAGATATTATATAAAGATTTGTTATGCAACAAAGTTTATGACTGTGTGTCAATTTTAAGCTGCCAAGTATACAGACTTTAACATGATTGACCTTCAAATTTAGCTTAATGGAAGTTTTAAATTTCATAAATAGTATTTTTGCAAACATAGATTCGTTAAATAGAGCTTACATCATTTTAGTTTGAAATGAAGTTTATATCAAATGAAGTTTATATGAAACCGTTATTACTTTATCAAAAAGATGCTTTGTCATATATTATATTGGTAACAGTAACATCCTCATAACAGTAAGACACTTGCAATAATTAATGATGGTAACCAGGTAAATCAACAATTTTTTAGAACCTTAAAAGTAGTTAAGTAAACCATGGTTAACAACATACAGTACATATTTATTATAATCTTTTATTTCTTGAAATCTATACAAAACAATTGGTTGCGAGAAAAGACTGGTCAACTTCAATTTTTGCACAATAGAGAACTGACATAGACTAGATTTGGAAGTTTAATATAAAACTGAGTGCAGTGGCCTTTTTAAATTTTCTAAACTTACAGCTAAATTAGTTCATCCAAAACCAATAGAGAGACTGTAAAAAAAAATTTTTTTTTTTCTTTTGCAAAAAAACTTCTGCTAGAACCCATTCAGGCACTAAAAACATTTGAAAGTTTGCATTTATTGCTGTATTTATTAAAATTATTTTTTTTTTGGAGTGTTTTAATTTCAAAGCACCTGGTTTGGTATTTGGTTCAAAAATGAATCATGTGAAGAAACCCACTTAGTTGATAATCAGCAGTTACAACTGCTAAAAAATATTGCTGAATTGTCAAATTTTATGAGACCTTCAGGTAAGCAAGTAAAACAGCTTACAGAGATACCAGTATTGCAATTGCACATTCATACTATGGATTTATTAATTTAGTGAAAACAATATTGAGTTATATATGTTTTATATGATTAGTTTTCAACAGATCCACTTAAAAAAGATTTTTTTGAGCTTTGACAGGGATCTGAAGATACATGCTCGATACAGCTGAAGATAAATGCTAAATATGTACTTAAAAAAATACATTTTGGACATACATTAAATTGATATTCCTGTTAATAGCATTGATGTTTATAATTGTGACACATGTTGCAGATATATTTTAAATTAGTTAAACTACTAATTGAATAAATTGTATGAATTATTCTTTAAAGAAATATTTAAATTTAGATAAAAGAATTTCATTTAAAAGATCCATCTGATGCATGTGTTTTGAACATTAGTGGAAGATCTCTGCACTCTGTAAGTTAACTTTATTCTACTACAATGAATATTTTAATTTCCACATTTTTTAATTTGACTATATTCAACTGCAAACGTAACTTGAATGAACACCAAATATTTAACTGCAAACGTAACTTGAATGAACACCAAATATTCAACTGCAATTTTAAAATAACAGCAAGATAATCATTATAAGAATACTTTTTTTGTTTTGAAAAATTATTTGTAATTTTGTACAATGCTTTTGAGTGCAAATAAATTTATAAACTTTAAAAGCTTACATGTTATATTAATAAAAATCGTTATCAGACCTTTTTATTTACAGCTCCAATACATTGTTTACACTGCAATACAGTTGCAATACAGTTTTTTTATTTAGGTGATTAGGTTGTTTTGTGCTAATTCTTTTGAAATCTCCATATTTTTGATTTTTGACTAAGTTTGTTAAAATAATTTTTGTTAATTCGTAAAACATTTAAGTAAAATCAAATTTATTTTCAGAAATAATTTTTTTTTCTTAAAATAATTTATGAGCTTATGTGTTGTTTTTAAAACATATACCTGCAAGTAATGCCAATTTTTTTTAACTTTTATTTGATAAATAATTTTTACCAATTATTGTATCATGTGACTGAATTACGCTTTAAGATTTTAAGATTTTATAACTTGTACTTTAAAATGTTGAATCTATTTTAAAATTCAAGTTAGCCAAAGAATCAAAAATTCTTGGTTTATATGAATGTTATTTTATTGCGAAAATACTTCTGTAAAAATTGTAAAATTATGAAAAAAGTTAAATTATTAAAAAATCAATATGTTTGAACGCATATTGAAACCCTGAACACATTTACACACAGACACACACACACACACACATCTTTAACAAGTTTACATATATAAATTCACACATATTTGTTCTTACAGCAGTTTTAGTTGTTCGTATTTTTTGTTTAAAGGCAGTGAATACTTATTGTATTGCAGTCAGCAAATTTAAAATTATTTGTTTTGCAGCCAGTGAATGCAGATTTTAGTTTGTTTAAAAATGTGTGTGAAGTTGATGCCAGTGACAACAATTTAACATTAGGTTTGTGATTTTGTTTACTACATTTGTAAATTATTAATTAATTAGTAAATTAATTTAATGTTTAAAAATACTAAATTTTGTGACAAATAAATGCGAACAAAAAGTTGATTATTTCACACTTGAAAGTTTTATTGAGAAAAATTTACAATTATTTAGACTTATTTAGAAATACTTAGATTTATTTAAATATTTTTAAAAATATTTATTAAAATTAATTAAATTTTTTAAATGTTAATATAATTTTAATTAAACAGAAAAATCAAAATTAAAGTTATAATTAAATTTTACAAATTAATGTTTAGATGCATTTTGTACATTTCCAAAGATTGAAAAGTTGTTTCTTCAGGCAAATAACATGAAGTTTGTTGATCTAAATAATGATAGCTTTCCATATCTGCAAACATTAGATTTATCATATAACTTTCTTTGCAATGAAGCATTAATCAACATAGGAAAGCTGAAATGCTTAAAAGATCTCCTCTTATGTGGTTGTGGTTTAAAAAAGTTACCTCAGATGTTTGATGCGGCTGCTAAAGATCATAGGTATTGTTTTTTTAACTCTTGTAAATAATTATTTATTTTAAATGTTTATTTTTCAAAAATTTACTATCATATATTTATTATTTATTTTTCCTCATTGTTATTAGTTTTTCATTGCACAATAACTTAAGTTCAATAAACTAAGGTTTGTTATTCTCCTTCAGTTCGGCCATTCATTCAGTTCGGCCATTCATTCAGTTCGGCCATTTATTTACAGATGCACAGAAAGTCATGACAAATCAAAAGTTGTCTACAATAAAACCATGAAAGCAAGATCTCATTGAAATCTAAATTAACTTTTCGCAACCAGTAATGTGCGTAATTCTGTAGTTTCTTTGTGCGTAATAATTCTTTTACTTATAAAATAGTGTTAATAAACATGTGCAGTCATTTGAATTAGACATAAAAGTGTTTGAGGTCGGCAAAAATTTGCTGATCTTGTTTAAATGGTAACCTGTTTGTGTCAAATTTTTTTTGCTGGCCTGGTGCTGACCTCTAACAGTTAAAGGTTGGGAATTTATTGCCGACCTCATTTTTCTAATTCTTAGGACTGCATTTGTAAATACAAGAAATTAATATTTTGTTCAATAAAAGTTTTTTAGGTAGAAATTTAAAAAGTTGTACAAGTTTTGTATGTCTATCATTCTTGGACTTGAGTGGAAATTTGCTAACAGAGAGTGTTTTTGAAAGTTTATCTGGAATGCCGAGGTAAAAATCTTGATTAAAAAAAAAACATGATTTTTTGTGATGTAAAATATCATCTGATTTTCATTAAAAACAATGTGAATCTATCACTATTACATCATGTTATAAAGTAACAAAAATACTTTATATTTAAAAATTTGTTAATCTTTGTTTCTATAGTCAAAAAAAATGTTTTAATAAAGTTTTTTACATCATTTTCCTGAAAGATTTTTTTTAATAAAATAAAAACATTCACTATACTATAATTTTTTTTTTTTGAATAAAAACATTCTGAATCGTATTTTTATTTTTTTAATGTAAAACATGCTCAGAGTGTTGCTACATTGACTATTTTATAGCTGCTGCTATATCGATTGAGGGTTTGGTTGGGGCAGGCAGTCTATCAAATAACAAAGAAAAAACTTAAAAAAAAAAGTTTTCAAACTTTTTCTTTCAAATAACTTTAAAAAAACAAACATAAAACTGACCTGACAATGAAAAAACTAAAAATGACCAAGCAAGATTATGTGTGTGTATATATATATATATATATATATATATATATATATATATCAGGGCTTGTGACGAACAAAATCGTCAAGCGTGTTATATCGCGCTCGTAAAATTAAAATATGTTTTCATCGAGCGTGATTATGTGCGCTCGAGATAACGTCGACGAGCGCGATCATGAAAATTGCTGGAGACCTTTTTTTATTTGTTACATCATTCTTTCGTCGACAAATGTTACACTTAGTATCACACTCATGAATTAACACTCTTGTATATTGTCAGATCGGGATTTTTTTTTAACTATTCATGTTATAAAAAAAAATATATCAAACAAAAACGCAACTTCTTGTTGATTTAGTATTGAAGTATAATTTAGTGACTTTTTTATAATTTAGTGCCTTTTTTTGTTTCGTTGTTTTGATATATGTATTTAAAAATAGTTTTTATATTTCTTGATATTTTTTATTCAAATTAATTTATTTCTAAAATTTCTTTTTTAAATTACGACTTTTTTATCTTAAAAAAATAACACAAGAAAGTTTGAAAATCTTTTTTTTTTTAAACTATTTATTATAGGTTAAATAACAGATTTTCCCCTCAACTGTTGTCAACGGTGTTTCCTCTTCTACATTTTCGAAACTGAATGCAGCTAATTCGTCACTCATATCTGGTAACTTCAGTTTTAAAGCCTATTACCTCTTGAACTTTCCATTTAATAAATGTTGACAACATTACTTTGTTTCCTTTTGGAATGTCATTGATTGCGGACATTCTAAACTACAGAATCGTTTTAAATTTGAGTTAAAATAAATAATAGTTAATAAAAAACTTATACTATAAACAAAAACTAATTTAAAAAATTACTGAATCATTATTATTTATTTTTATTATAAACGTATTATAAATGTATGGAATATTACAAACAATAAATCAAATAAATCTTTCTTGATGTATTCACAAGATTAAAAATATTCTGCAGTTTCAATTTTCTTATAATGATTTACTAATTTTTTATTATTTTATTTGTGCATTTTTATATTTGCATTGAATTTCTACATGCACATTCCATCAATGAAATTAGTGCCTATTAACGACTTCAAACTGCTCATTCATTAGGTTAGTGCAAAAAAAAAAAAAGTAGTGCTTTTTTTATTTTATATTATATTAGTGCTTCGATAATATAAAATCTTTATTAAAAAATCTTTTTTTCATATTTTATGAAAATAAAAAAAAAAGTTATTATTTGTTTTGCCCCGAACTCTTGGACGAGCGTTATTTTATACGCTCGTTATAAGCTGAACGAGCGTTGTTTATCGCGCCTGGAACGTTTCAAAATACCATTTACGGGCGCGTTTCACGAGCGGAGCGCAGTCACGCTCGATTCATCACAAGCCCTGATATATATATATATATATATATATATATATATATATATATATATATATATATATATATATATATATATATATGTATATATATATATATATATTATATATATATATATATATATATATACATATATATATATGTATATATATATATATATATATATATATATATACATATACATATATATATATATATATATATATATATCCATATATATATATACACACACATATATATATGTATATATATATATATATATATATATATATATATATATATATGTATATATATATATATATATATATATATATACACGCACATATATATATGTATATATATATATATATATATATATATATATATATATATATATATATATATATATATATATATATATATATATAGTAAAACTTAGTAGTAGTTTTTGCAGCTTTATTTTATAAGAAAATGTGAATGAAAGTGTATGCAAACATCTAAAATACGTCAACTTCAAACTATGTAATGTTAAGACATACTAAAACATATATCAAGTTTTACAGTTTTACTTTCAATTAAAAACTGCATTTCGTCACTTCTCCTTAATTTTGATCTATAATATTTATTTCTGTTAAAAAAAAAATACTATTAAGTTTTAAAATTTCGTAAGTCAATGTGCCAGCGTGGCCGAGTGGTTAGCGCACAGAGATTCTGAATAAAAAAGCCATGGTTCAAATCTTACCATTGGAAACTTTATTTTTTTAATTTTTTAAAGATTTTTTAAAATACTTGCGAAGTTATTATAGAGATTATATACTAACATATGTAACAATATTATACACTTTAACAAAACAAAAAGATTTTTAAAGAACTAAAAGTTCTTAAAACATCAAAAAATGGGGGTTTGTTGCATGTGTGTCATGGTTGAGATGTCAGTTTAGTTTTTTATTTCAAGTTTTTTACAACTAAGTTGAGTTGTAAAAAACTTGAAATGCAAAAGTTGAGTGCATAAAAAATGAGTATAAACAACATGTTTATATATAAAATCTATAGAACTATAAGTTGTTTTGTTATAGCATTTTAAATAAAAAAAACTAAAAAAAAAAGAAGCAAGCTGATGATTTAAACTTGCCATGTGGTGACCTCAACTTTTTAAAAAAAAACAATAAGGGGGTTTAAAAAGTATGTTTTAAATAAGAACATAATTGAAAATTCTAGTTTTATATGTAAAATAAACTATTTTGTTAAATTTATTATTTTTAAAAATAATCAAAAGTTAAAATTATTTAATATTGATATTAAAAAGAAATTTAGAGTTTTACTGCTATTTTACCACGGCCCCTTTAAACATTCTAAACCAAGTGCACAACAACGACAGAGTTTAGATAAACATCAAAATAGTATACTCCACTTTTTTTGGCTTAACTTTTAGATTAGGGATAATCCATGAATTATGCAACGCTAAATTTCACTCATGAGCACTACAAAAAATGTCAGAATTTTCACTTGCAGAATCATAAGTTAAATAAAAATTCAAAGTAGCTCATTAAGTTTAATGAAAATCACCACCTAAAAGAACTTAAGGTTTACGTCTTTTTTTTTTTTTTAATAAATTTAGCGTTGCATTATTTATGGAGTTTTCTTTGCGTTTTATAGTCTATAGTTTTTAATGGTTTAAGATCATCTTTGTATAGTGTTGTGTACATAAGTGTAAACGTCTTTAGCATATGTTGAGTTTGCAGGCAGTTTTGGAACAATTGTGTATAATAAGTCTATAAAAATGAGAAAACTTTTAAATTTTATGTTAAGAATTAGAAAACTTTTTTGCTATACTACTATTTTTTTGCTATAAATATTGCTATAATTATTACAGATATATACTATAATAAAAATTTTTCTATAAGTATTACTATAAATACAGCAAGATTGAAAAATATTCAAAATTTATTAAGGGAGGTCTTTAATCCCCCAAAATGACATTGATGACAGAGCACTAAACCACTGAGCTATCAATGATATGCATTTAGAAAAAAAACAAACCTTATTATAAATCTCTTACAAGCTCTAGTATGTGGAAAAGATGCGCAATTTTTCAAAATGAATTGTTTTACGTCAAAATATTAAAATATTAAAAGTAAACAAATAATAGCTATAAAAATGGTTATTGATTGGTGTGGAATAGATAAGTATAGAAATACTAGGTTTAGTAAAGACCTATATTCTATGGGTCTGGAAAGCTAGGATATACATATAAAGAAAAATAGACTTACATAGACCTGTATTTTTACTGGTCAGATTAGCTAGTATTTATAATATAAATATATATTTTATATATTTATAAATATATATAAATAAATGTTGCAAAATATATAAAAGTATGTTAGCTTACTTTTGTTTTTAAAACTAATTTTTTTAAGCTTGAAGCATTTGTATATATTTTCAAGTATGTACTTATTATTTTTACAATAAGTACAATTTAGAAACTGAAAAAATCTTTTTTATTTTATTTTTTTATCTAGTTTAAAGAGTTTGTTGCTATTTATTTTAACTAATTTTATTTTATGAATGAGTTGAAAGAATTTAGTTTTTGATCTAAAAAAGTTGATTTTAGAATGTGCTCTTTTGATTACAAGAACTTCTAAAAAGTTGCTTTAAATATTATAAATGAATGAAGTATTGTTGGTTTAGTTTATTTTTTATAAGATTATATATAGTTATATATTACTTTTAACTAATTTGTTAATGCTAACTTGTTATTTACTCAATAAATAATAAAAATTCAATGGTGTAATATCTATTCATTAAAAATTTTATCAAAATAAAAAAAAAGTTTTTATAAAGTTTTGATGGAAGCTCAAATCAAAAATGGGGTACATCTACACTTTCTCTTACCTTTCCTCTCTACACAAATTGCATTATTGTATCCTGTTCACTCCAAAAATGTAATAGTTTAATTTCTGTTTACTTTAGTTTTTTTGCTGTTTTAGGTTAACGATATTAAAACTTGGAAATAATAAAATTTGCAGTGTTCCTGACCTTTCATGTATGTAAGTTAAAAGTTATTTATTATTTAATAAATTTTATACTTGTTTCATCTAAACTTAGTAAACTAAATATTTTGCTAATATTTGTCAACTGACTTTTAACTAAAAAGCTAAATAAGTTGACTAATTTTTTTATTGAAATTTTATTTGAATAACTTCTTAAACAACTATCTAAAGTTGAAAACTTTTTAGTTTACTGACTACCTAGTCATAATTAACATTTAATTTACTGACTAACCTAGTCATAACTAACATTTTAGTTTACTGACTAACCTAGTCATAACTAACATTTTACTAAAACTAGTCTACTAATTCTTTTAAAAGAAATTTATTTGTTAGTAGACAATTTATTTGTAGGTGTACAGTGCTTGTAGCATAATGTTTTATAAAGTTGACCAGGTGTGTTGCTTTAGAGATGTGGTGTTTCATCTTGACACCACACCTCTAGAACAATCTTTAGATGTTCTGTGCTCATTTTCTTAATGCTGCAGTTTGTTGTTTTGGAGTTAGGCTTGAGTTATAAAGTTGAAATAATAAAAAATGATAATAAAAGAATTAAAACTGTATTCAACTTGTCCTGTTTCTTTTTGTTGTTTTGCACGTTTTATTTTTTTAGTGAAAACTAGTTTGTAGTTAAAAAGTAACATATAGCAACAAGTAAAAATAACAACTAAGTACAATAATATTATTATAATAAATTTTTAATCTATCACAATTTTAGTTATTTTAGTCAAAGTTAATATTTAAAAAAAAAATCAACTAATTAACAAACAAAATTTCAATTAAAATTAAGCTAAATAGACACGATCTTTTTTAGACTAAAAGACATCTAATTAATTGTTAGATATCTTATAATAATTTATTAAATGCATTTATCAAGTTGATATGAGATGTATATTAGTGTGGACTAAAAATATATTTAATTAATAAATTTATTAAATTGATACCAGATGTATACACATATACAAGCTAAATGTTAAAGAAACTCTTATCTTCAGGTTTATTCAATGTATTAGTGTTAACTTCAAAAAAGCTTTTGATAAAATTTTACATATGGCTTACGCTTTGCCTGTGTTTTATAATATCTCTACCTTTTAATTCATAAAACTTTTGACCATAGAGAAACATGCAGCAATTATTTTTAACAAGTGTTCATGTTCAACTAAACCCTCCAAGTGTTTTAAGGCATCTTCCTCAGATTAATCTAAAAGTTGCCATATCGAATGATATCCCTCTTGGAGCTTTGTTTTTAGTTAGGTCTATTGTGCAAAATCTCAGGAGTTAGCCAAAGCTGCAACTTCTACACCCTAAATTGACTCGATTAATAAAATCTTTTGTGTGTTTTTGTAAATTTTCAGAAATACCTAGATATTGTATTTATTTACAAAGATTATTATATATATAAATGTAAATATGTATTATTATATGTATAAATATATTATTATATGTATAAATATATTATGTATATATATATTATGTATAAATATATATATATATATATATATATATATATATATATATATATATATATATATATATATATATATATATATATATATATATAATATTCACTGTCAATAAGTAAACAAATATAATTTTAATAAAATAAATTTTTTTTTTTTTAATTATATATTTTTTAAATTATAACAATAATGAAATCAAAGTAATTTATAATATTGGTATTAATCAGTATTAGTTTTTTTTTAAACAAATCTACTTCCAACATGGCTGCAAGCGCTTGTTTGGAGTAGGTTTTTACTGCTACTTTTTTTACTGGCATTAAGAATAAATTGACATGACAAATCTAAAATCAAATATGCCTTTAGAAAGTTAAAACTAATTATTTGCAGTAAAAACAATAATAGACATTTATTTTGTGTTTAAGTGGATTACAGCTAAATAACTTATTTTAAATTTAACAGTTTGAAAATGTGAGAAAGGTACAAGTAATGCCTTAACAGTTTCTATAAGATAATAAGTAGTAAATAACAGTGTTGCCATTCATCATATAGAAATGTTGACATCATTGTGATGGTTATTAGCACTAAACAACTGAGTTTTTTTTTTTGATTAAAATTAACCATCCACCATTCCAAGCTGAAAAAAATCTAAAGAAGCAGCAGAAGAAAGAAGGAGATCAGAAGGAGATTCCTTTTTAAAGAAGAGAGGTCACATTTAAAATAGGCTGCCTGTTCCTAGCAATTAAAAAGTGATGACTTTTTGTCAAGACTGGAGAATATAGATGTGTTGTCAACAAAAACTTAAGAAATAATATTATCAGCAAGATAATTAATATATATTTTAATATGGGTTTACAAGTCAGCAACATAAGGAGAGAATCAAAATTGTTTCTTAGAGAGTATTTGTTAAACTCAAAATGAGGTTTTGGAAGTTGTTGTAACTTTATTGTAAGAAAGAAGTTTTGTAAGACTGTTTGAGTGTTGTCTTTGTAAGACTGTTTGAGTGTTGTCTTTGTAAGACTGTTTGAGTGTTGCCTTTGTAAGACTGTTTGAGTGCTGTCTTTGTAAGACTTTTTGAGTGTTGTCTTTGTAAGACTGTTTGAGTGTTGCCTTTGTAAGCCTGTTTGAGTGCTGTCTTTGTAAGACTGTTTGAGTGTTGTCTTTGTAAGACTGTTTGAGTGTTGTCTTTGTAAGACTGTTTGAGTGTTGTCTTTGTAAGACTGTTTGAGTGTTGTCTTTGTAAGACTGTTTGAGTGCTGTCTTTGTAAGACTGTTTGAGTGTTGTCTTTGTAAGACTGTTTGAGTGTTGTCTTTGTTGGACTGTTTGAGTGTTGTCTTTGTTGGACTGGTAGAGTGTTGTTTTTGTAAAACTGTTTGAGTGTTGTCTTTGTTGGACTGTTTGAGTGTTGTTTTTGTAAGACTGTTTGAGTGTTGTCTTTGTAAGACTGTTTGAGTGCTGTCTTTGTAAGACTGTTTGAGTGTTGTCTTTGTAAGACTGTTTGAGTGTTGTCTTTGTAAGACTGTTTGAGTGTTGTCTTTGTAAGACTGTTTGAGTGTTGTCTTTGTAAGACTGTTTGAGTGCTGTCTTTGTAAGACTGTTTGAGTGTTGTCTTTGTAAGACTGTTTGAGTGCTGTCTTTGTAAGACTGTTTGAGTGTTGTCTTTGTAAGACTGTTTGAGTGTTGTCTTTGTAAGACTGTTTGAGTGTTGTCTTTGTAAGACTGTTTGAGTGTTGTCTTTGTAAGACTGTTTGAGTGCTGTCTTTGTAAGACTGTTTGAGTGTTGTCTTTGTAAGACTGTTTGAGTGTTGTCTTTGTTGGACTGTTTGAGTGTTGTCTTTGTTGGACTGGTAGAGTGTTGTTTTTGTAAAACTGTTTGAGTGTTGTCTTTGTTGGACTGTTTGAGTGTTGTTTTTGTAAGACTGTTTGAGTGTTGTCTTTGTAAGACTGTTTAAGTGTTGTTTTTGTAAGACTGTTTGAGTGTTGTTTTTGTAAGACTGTTTGAGTGTTGTCTTTGTAAGACTGGTTAAGTGTTGTTTTTGTAAAACTGTTTGAGTGTTGTCTTTGTAAGACTGTTTGAGTGTTGTCTTTGAAAGACTGTTTTAGTGTTGTAAGACTGTTTGAGTATTGATTGCAAGCTGTAGAGGAACTTAAGTTCAGTGTGATAATCATTTAAGTCACCAATAACAACAAAATAAGTTGATAGATAAAGACAAAGGTCTTGATTAAGAAGGAAGAGCAATAAAGAACAAAGTGAAAGGTGGTTGCATAAAAAAATGCTGAATGAAGTTAAATAAAAGAATTGTCAGAGGATTCAAATCTGATTTTGCAATAATAGGTGAAATGGTATGTCAATTAAAACGATACTCCATTAATCACACACTTGGCTTGAGCGCGTCAAGTATGCAATTATTGAAGTCTTTGCAAAATGATGGATAATAGTTTTTTTTTTCTCTATTTATTTAACCATAAATAATGAAAATTTACAATGATAAATTATAAATTTACATAAATAAGGTTAGGTATCACTCATATAGTTGAAAACTAGTCAATGGAGTTGACTAGTTTTCAACTATAAACCTAAAAAAAAGAAAAAAGAAAAAAGGAAAGAAAGATAAGCAACAATAACAATAAAGAAGACTTGAAAAAAAAAAAAAAAAAAAAAAAAAAAAGAGGAAAAGAAAGTTAAAAGTAATAATATTTATAAAAATAATAGTAACAATAACATGAATAAAAATAGTATAAATAATAATAACTGCAATATAACAACGTAAAAAGAATTATAAATGATAAAGCAATAGTAAGATAATTATAGTATAGTTAATAATTATAAAATAAACAATTTAAAGATTAGTTTTAACAATAAGGATAAAGCTACTGCAACTACTGAACTACTTTGACTATCATTATAGGTAATAATATTAAGGCAACAAAAACAAAGATATATAAATAATAATAGTAATAACAATAATAAAAATAGTAGTAGTAACAATGTAAAGAATAATAATAACAATAAAAAATAAATAAAAATAAAAATAAGTGTAATTAATTAAATAATATATTGAAGGAATAATAATAAAAGATAGCATTAATATTCTTTAGATATTTGCTCACATAAAAATTTCTTAATTAGGTTTCTATTGAGAAGAAGAAAGTTAGTAACAAAAGAGTATTTAGTTAAAAACTTTTTTTTAATAAAAGGTATTAGTTAGTTCCAGTGAGAAATACATTGATGTTTTATGGAGAGTTTGCCATACTTGACAGTATTAAAAAAAGAAGGGTGCAAATTACCATTTATAGTAATACGAGTATAGTATTTATGTGTATCACTTGCTTTAATAAAAAAATTGTTAAACGAACCCGGCAGATTATTTTGGAGGAAATCAAACACAAAAAGACAGTTGTAAAGCTTTAAAAGATCTTGAAATTGTAAAATTTTTAATTCAGAAAGCCTTTTTTGGATATTAGATTGAATAGGAGAAAATGTCATAATTCTTATGGAAGCACGTTGCAAACTGTTTATACGATTTAATAGAAAACT